ATAAAGACTTTATTAATATATAATTTTAAAAAAACACTAATTTCTATTACAAACTTTTTTAATATTAAACATTTTAAATGTGAATATTATTATATTTCACTGAAATTTAAAAATAACAATAATGATATCGCGCCACCAATCACAAAATGTTGCTGTTAGTAACCAGAAATGAATATGGCGTCAACTTAACGTTTGTTTTTATTTTATATTCATTTTGTAATTTGTAAGTACGTAATATATAATATCACACTTTAATTACATATGCCTTTGTTTATTAAATGCACAAAAACAAATAAACTTAACAAATATGTCAAACAAGAATACTGAACCTATCGAATGTATATACAGTATATCCGTGTATTGAATAAACGAATCTATTCAAACGTTTCTTTGTAAAAAGTACAAAAATTAATAATTCTAAGAAAAATAATAAGTATTATTTGTTTAAGAATACTCACCGTATATTAATTTAATGAGAACAGGAAATTGTTTAAAACTGCAAATGGACAAACCCCCTGCTATGATTTGACACAGACGACAGCTGTTTGAAGTTTCCAGGAGTAACGCTAGATTGCTCTTCTAACAGTATATAAATCATAACCATCGGAAAGCGGGAAAAATTATTGTATATTTATTTTAACATGCAATATAAAATTTAATGATTTTTTTAAATAAATTGTTTAAATTGTAAATTTCAAATTTTTAGATTTTTATATTGAACATGAACATTTTAATAATAAATATAATGAAATATAGATAATACATTATATATTTTATAAATAAATAAATAGCGAATAATTTTGAAATGACAGGTCTTTTATTATCAACATTATTAGTACAGTGAAACAGCTAATATAATACAATAAAATAGTGCCGTTTTACAATAGAGCGCCATAAAGCTTTTTTTACACGTAGTATCGCGTTTAATATAATATTATTTTCTTCTTTTTAATTAGATTTACTCCTCTTTCATAAAGATACATAAAGTTTAAGTTCTTTATCAATTTCTGGATGAAGCGTTAACATCAATTGATTAAATTGGTTATCTCCAATTAATCTACGTAAAGTAAGTAACTGAAAAAAATATAAAAGAGAAATTTTAATATATAATATAAATATAAATTTTTTACAATAAAAAACTAACA